GCTAAAGTTAGCTTAAACAACTCGTCTTATTTTATATATGCATGGTAACGTTAGCTTAAACAACTCGGGTTTTTTTTAGAGCTGCATGCTAAAGTTAGCTTAAACTACATCCCTTATTTTAAACTGCATGCCTTATTTTATAGCTGCATGCTAAAGTTAGCTTAAACTACATGCCTTATTTTAGAGCTGCATGCTAAAGTTAGCTTAAAATCCATGCCTTATTTTATAGCTGCATGCTAAAGTTAGCTTAAACTACATGCCTTAAATGACATGCCTTATTTTATAGCTGCATGCTAAAGTTAGCTTAAACAACTCGCCTTATTTTATGGCTACATGCTAAAGTTAGCTTAAACTACGTGCCTTATTTTATAGCTGCATGCTAAAGTTAGCTTAAACTACGTGCCTTATTTTATAGCTGCATGCTAAAGTTAGCTTAAACTACATGCCTTATTTTATGGCTGCATGCTAACGTTACAATTAAACTACATGCCTTATTTTATAGCTGCATGCTAAAGTTAGCTTAAACGACATGCCTTATTTTATAGCTGCATGCTAACGTTAGCTTAAATGGCATGCCTTTTTTTATAGCTGCATGCTAATGTTAGCTTAAAGTACATGCCTTATTTTAAACTACATGCCTTATTTTATAGCTGCATGCTAAAGTTAGCTTAAACTACACGCCTTATTTTATAGCTATATGCTAAAGTTAGCTTAAATTACATGCCTTCTTTTATGGCTGCATGCTAAAGTTACAATTAAACTACATGCCTTATTTTATAGCTGCATGGTAATGTTAGCTTAAACAACTCGTCTTATTTTATATCTGCATGGTAACGTTAGCTTAAACTACCTGCCTTATTTTATAGCTGCATGCTAATGTTAGCTTAAACAACATGCCTTATTTTATAGCTGCATGCAAACGTTAGCTTAAACTACATACCTTATTTTAAACTACATGCCTTATTTTATAGCTGCATGCTAATGTTAGCTTAAAGTACATGCCTTCTTTTAAACTACATGCCTTATTTTATAGCTGCATGCTAATGTTAGCTTAAACTACATGCCTTATTTTAAACTACATACCTTATTTTAAACTACATGCCTTATTTTAATCTACAGGCCTTATTTCATAGCTGCATGCTAATGTTAGCTTAAACTACATGCCTTATTTTAATCTACATGCCTTATTTTAAACTACATACCTTATTTTATAGCTGCATGCTAATGTTAGCTTAAACTGCATGCCTTATTTTAATCTACATGCCTTATTTTAAACTACATACCTTATTTTATAGCTGCATGCTAATGTTAGCTTAAACTACATGCCTTATTTTAATCTACATGCCTTATTTTAAACTACATACCTTATTTTATAGCTGCATGCTAAAGTTAAGTGTCAATGTTAATAAAAATGTATTTCATAAGCTGCCTATAAATATTAAGATTTTTTAACCCTAACCCACTACAAGTGTCTTACAAGGAAATAACAATTCTGTTAATTTATCAATAACCAGCCCTTTTAAAATGTTAATAAACAGCTTAATAATGTTTATGACAGGTAAATAAACATCAACAAGTTCCTAATAAGAGCCTATAAGTGTCTTATCAATAATAAATGAGTTAATTGTGCTTTAGTTAACACTTATTTGTGTTATAAACATCTTTATAAAGTGTTTGATTATTTTTTAATTGCTGCTTATTACTGTTAATTACTGCTTATTACAAGCACCTTCAAATAAAGTGTTACCGAGACATATTTATATTTACTGGTGTTCTTAATTCTCTGCAATTATGCTTTTCTTTCTTTCTGATTTTCTTTAAGCCAGCCAAAGTGAAAGCACTTGTGATTAACTTAAAGAAAATAGAGCTCACAGCCGGATGCTGAGTTCATCAGTCAGTTATCGTCTATTCCATAAACCAATCACAATGTGTTTTAAGACTCCATATTATTGACATGGTGTCATGGTTTTGGGTTTTGATGTTGTTATTTTCTATTTTATGTTGTATCTCCTGTGTCTTGTCTTACTTTATTTCCTGCCCTCGTGTTTTCCCGCCCGTTTGATTGGCTGCCCTGTCCTAATTAGTTTCACCTGTGTCTCCTTAATCTCCCCTCACTTGTGTGTTTTGTCTGTGCGCCTGCCTTGTCTTTGTCTATATGTCAAGCTTTCTAGCCATTGCCCAGTGTTTTCCTGTGTTTTGGATTTTTGGCCTGATGTATTAGACCGTTTAGATTTGGTTTATTGCTGCTTCCTTTGGATGTGTTTGCTATGTGTCTGCCTGTGTGGACCTTGGCCTGCCTCAGCTTGCTGTAAGTCAGTGTACTCTTTTATTTTGAAAACCATAAAACTGAACCTGCCTCTGGTTCTGGGTCTGGTCCACTCCCTCGTGTTCCTCTTTGCCCAATTGAACTTACTGTGACACAAAGATATTATCTCTGTATGTTCCCTTTGCCTATAGGTTTAAAAATCATGATTGAAAAACCCTCGAGGAAGATCATTCAGAGACATCCCCTCCTAATGAAAGGCTTCCTGCTAAGTGTTGTTAAAATGTTTTATACCTATAAGATATTACAAATATTTCATTGATTCATGTAGAATATAAGTAATTTAAGACTTCATCATCACACTGAAGTTTAACAGTGTGTGACTCTCTCTAGTGGACGTTGTGGAGTATTCTGTTGTCTTTGCTCCAAAGGTTTTTGTACAGAGTTTTGGTGTTTCCTGTCACTGTGGGCTGCAGAGCACAGTAGTACACAGCAGAGTCTGTCACTTTAGCTGAGATGATCTGCAGATTCACACGCTTGTCTGTTTTGTTAATGTGAGCTGAGAAAACAGAACCAGGTGAATGAATCGTTCCTCCCTCTGTGATGGAGAGCAGGAACTCTGGTCTGGATCTCTGGTATTGTTGGTACCACTGGATATTGTAGATAGCACCCTCATATTTACAGGTCAGGTTGATGTTTCCTCCCTCTGCAACATGTTCTTCAGGACTTTCTGGCATTATGCTGTTCATGGAACCCAGGGCTGCAAAATGAGTCATTCATGTCAGTTAGTCTGCAAGAGATTCTAACATCAAGAGACTCAACGGAGGTTCTTGACTTTCTGGATTTATTCAATAAACCAAATGTCTGTTTCTATCATGGAAGTTGTTCCCTTCCACAGAGAAACCTCTAGTTCTGAAATGTAGACCAAATATCTGGTTAATCCAGCAGGTTAATGAGCCTTTCATCTGTGTTCCAACACTCACCTATGAAGTGAGAGCAAAGTAAAAAGAGGTAAAGCAACATGTCTTTGGAGTTGTTAAAGCCAGACAGACAGCAGATGAGCAATGTTCTTCCACTGCAGTAGAATGAAGAAACTAAACAGCCTCTCTGCTGCACAGCCCTTCTCCTCAACATCAAGCTGATTGTGCTTTTAGTTCCTCAAACATTTCTGCTCTGGAGACGCAAAGAATCTCATTGGTTGAGTTGGACTTCAGTGGGCGGGCCAGAGAATCCCCTTTTTAGAGATTGGCTGTCTACCAAAGTTCAGTTCAGCCAGTGAGATTATTTGTGCATCCAGAGCAGCTCTGCCTCAGAGAAATGTTTCCTGAATGTCCACTTTCAGTTCTTCACACCATTGTGAGACCGAGGCAGGTCCCACTAGAAGGAAGCCTACCTGAAGACCTGCTCTCTATTCTGGGAACATGGAGGACATTTCATTAGGGACGTCCTGATCAGGTTCTTTTGTCCCCTACAGGTGCTTTGCTCAGTCTTTTAATATGACGTATCTGTCCACACAGAGTCCTGATCTGATACCTGTATGCTTGACAGTTGAATAATAGCTGTCATCTCATCTGATAAAACACATCATAGGTGGTCACAGGCCTTGTTGTAAAGCTCTAGTAGGACAGTGTCTGAAATATCCAGAGGGTAGGGCGCACCGTGACTCCAAAAGACTGTATAAACCTGTAATTCTCTACCACAGCTTTGAATTTAATCTTGGTAATCCTTTTGGCCTTGTCCCTGTCTGAAGGAAATGTCTCTCTCCTTTATAGTATCGTCAGTCTTTGTTGCTTTGGTGCAGCCTTTGCTGAGTTACCTGAGTTCACTCACTGTATTCTGTTAGCTGCCGTATCAAAGTGGTATTTTTTATTTAATTTAACAGGGACAGTTCACATTAATCAACACCGTAGTTAGACTTCAATGTAAATGTACATCAGAACAATGTTTCAACAAGTACTGCAAGAAAAATACATTAAAAGTATCATGCATAACTACATTACAAAAGTGATTAAAGTACGTGTCATGGGGCTACCCCATGCCTTCATTTAAGCCAGCGGTAGCATTGGTCTTAGCATGCTGAGCTAACCTTCGCTAACATTAGCATAGGACTTTTAGCATTAGCATTACCTTTAGCATATGGGCTAGCATCAATGGACACATGGCTTGTCATTTCATGTCATTTCATTTCAGTTCATTTAAGTACTAGTCAGAAGAGTTGAAATCATGATTGGATAAATACAACACATACACAGTTCATTTCAAGTCATTTATTTTAGCTTACTGGATTTACCCAAGGTCATCCAAATGTTTGTATGTTTCATTCACCTGTTCTCATCCTCAAGCAGGGATCTGGGTTCAAGTTTTTTGCATTTTCTCTTTAATGACTGTTTTAGCTTCAGATTTACTTGCAGAACTTGTATATCAACTGACTTTGATTTAAGTGCTTGTTTTGCCAGAATATCAGCGTCTTCATTTCCTTCTACCCCTACATGGGCAGGAACCCAAACAAAGCGACAGTCCAGCCCTTATGATATAATCTACATAGAGAGCTATGAATACTAAATACCAGATCCAGCCTACAGGACTTAACAGATTTAATACTGGTGAGCGCTGCCCAGCTATCTGATGCAATGACCACCTTGCTTTCCTTATTTTCTTCTATCCACTGTAATGCCATCAAAATGGCCATAAGCTCAACTGTATATACTGACAGATGATCTGGTTCTCTTTTTAATGCCTAGTTTGTATGCTGGGATGTATATGGCAGCTCCTGTCCGTCCAGTCTCTGGATCTTTAGAGCCATCAGTAAAGACCATGTGGTTATCTCTATATGCTGCTCTATGTAACTTTCTGCTATTCTTCCCGTGTGTTTGCTTGGGTTTCTTTTTGATTATTTGCTGTACATGCAGGTCAATGGATGGATTTACAAAAAACCACGGAGGAAGATCTGGATATGGGACTACTGGGATATATTTTATACTGCACAGGCCAAGACTTTCTGCTTTCGCATTTCCCACCCATCCAAAACTGAAACAGCTACTTTTATTGTGTTCCCAACATTCTTCTAGGCTGGCTTTAGCGCGGGGTGAGAGCTACAGTGTCCCTGAAGATTAGCCCAGTATGTTAGCATAATTCTTGTTCTTCTTATTCTTAGTGGCTGTTCCCCCAATTCCACTTGCATGGCAGCCACTGGACAGGTCTTAAATGCTCCACTGCATGTCCTTAACGCTTGTGCCTGTTCCACATCTAGTTTTTTAAGATGCCATTCTGCTCCTGACATATATGCTATACATCCAAAATCTAGTGTAGATCTCATCAAGGTCTGATATATTTTAAGCAATGATGTTGTAGTGGCCCCCCAGTCCCTTCCTGACAGACATCTTAAAAGGTTATTGATTTTTTTGCATTTGTCTTTGACCTTATCGGTGTGCTGTTTCCAGGTCAACTTTTCATCAAACAACACTCCAAACAGTCTGATAACTTTTACTTTTTCAAGGGTTTGATCATATATTTTTAAGGACACTTCTTTATGTCTCCTGGAAAAACATATCACTTGTGTCTTTGCACCCGACACCTTAAAACCCCAGTTATTTGCCCACTGTCCACCTCCACAATTGCTGCCTGTAATTTTTTCTGAATAAATTTCAAATTCCGTCCTCTTATTCATAGGGTGCCATCTAAATCATCAGTTGTTGTGCTCTTCTGTATATTGACACCTGGGTTCATGGCAAGAGTGTTGTCTCTGCACTTTCTGGCCTCGACTAATAAATTATCTGAACTGTGTACTTGAACTAATGTTTCTGCCAACATTTCTACCTTCTCCACATTACTGATTGCTGTTTTATTGCCACTTATTAAGACTGGCATTATATAACTCCTTCTGATTCCACTCATTTTTCTAACCATTCCCCAAATATCAGCCAGTGATGTCTCTCTTCCAGTCTTATTGCAGTAATCCCTCCAGTATTCACGTTTTGTTGCTCTTATAGTCTTCCGGACTATGGCCTGTGATCTTTTGTAATTAATGTCTCTAGTGAACGATGTTTTTTTAACTGCCTAAATGCCTTGTTTCTTCTTTTAATAGCTTTGCTACAATTTACATCCCACCATGGTCCATTCTTTTTCACTCTGCTCCCTGTACTTCTTGGTATCGTTTCCTCTGCTGCATTTATAATGACTCCCACCAACTTTTTATTACATTGGTCCCCATCTGATAAATCTTCTCTGATTAAACTCTCACACTTATTTTTACATAATTTTTGAAATGTGTCCCAATCTGCTCCATCTAGTTTCCACCTTTTTATTCTTGAGTTTTCCTCATCATGTATCTCTACTCCGATCTTAACTATTATCGGGTAGTGATCACTACCTCCTGATGATGTATTTAACACCTCCCATGTGGTAATGCCTGCTACTCCCTGATATACTAATGTTAAGTCAATTGCACTTTCTGTATTTTGAACACTGTATCTGGTGCCACTTCATCATTCATGCAAACTAATCCCTTATCCACAATTAATTCCTCTATGATTAATCCATTAGTATCTGTCTTTTTCCCCACAGTGTACTATGTGCATTAAAATCACCGCACCAGACCACTTTATCCCGTGTTTGCCCACCCACAGTATTCAATGTGTCTAAATTTAATCTATTGCAAGGGTTATAATAATTAATTATTGTTAGTTCAGCTTTTGACTACTATTGCTTCATGCTCTTTTCCTACACTCATCAAACTAAACCTTGTCCCATTTAGCACAAACGTTGCTACCCCACCACCTTTTCCATTCACCCAATCATTCCTAATTGCTGTGTAACCCTGAATTACAAAGTCCCATTGTGGTTTTAGCCATGTTTCCTGTATGCATGTAATATTGGGTTTATCTTGGAGGTTTGAGATAAAATGCTTAAATTCCTGTCCATTAGCAATTAGACTTCTTGAATTCCATTGCAGTATAGTTAGGATCATGAAGATCCACCACCCCATGACAGTGCTTGTGAGGTTGGTGTTCCTCCACTTAATTGTTCCTCAACCTCCTCCCACACTAACCCCTTGATTCCCAAGTACTTTTCTGCTGCTTCAACTATTATTTAGATTTTTCTGTTTTCTTCTCTGTTTGCACAGAGCAATTTACCACTTCGACCATAAACAAAACAACCTCATTTTTTCTTTTTTACATTCTGCACTAGCTTGTTTATTGTTTGGTCTGTCTGGTTGCCAACCTACTCTGTTGGTTGCTTCAGCGTATATTATCCCTTCTGATGTTTTAATTCTCTGTATTTCTACAGCTCTCTTACTAGCCTCGCATCCCCTGTAGGCCGAGCTGTGTTCTCCTCCACAGTTACAGCATTTTAGCTTAGCTCCATTTACGCATTTCCCGTACTCATGTTCACCACCGCATCTTCCACACCTTGGTTTGCCCTTACATACAGCTGCTACATGTCCATATTTTTGACACTTAAAGCACCTCAGAGGTGGGGGAACATAATGTTTGACATCGTAGCACTGTATAACCTATATATACTTTAGATGGTAGACTTTCCTCATCAAAAACAATCATAACAGACAAGCTGTCACATCTTTCACCATTACGTGTTGTTTTCAAGCGTTTTGCCTCGGCTACCCGTGCTCCTTCCACATTTTCCTTGACTTGTTCTACTGACAAGTAACCCTTCATTCCATAACATATCGCACTATCTTCAATTTTGTTAAGCAGAACAGCCTTCCTTTGCTGATCAGTGTCCCTGCAAAAAACCATCAGTGCTCCATTTCTCATTACTCGTGCACTTTTCACATTGCCAACCAACTTGTTTATAGCTTTTGTTAAATGAACCGGGTTCCACTCGTCGAATGAGGCTCCCTCCTGAATCATTTTAATCATTACTTTGTACTCTTCGTTTCTACCTTCTGTTGAAGCTAGATGTTGCTCATTATCGGTTTCCTCTGAGTGAGAACTCTCATTTTGCTTACTCTTTTTCCACCGTTTTCGTTTGCTATTTCCCTTTTCCACAATTTTCCATTTTCCATTTCTGCCGCCGCCTGTTTCCATTCCTAATTCACTTCCTGATCCGTCACTTCCCTCTGCCATCTTCTGTCCATTCACAGTCCGGTCGTCCAAACAGGAAGTGATGGAGTGTGGAGTAATTTACAGTGTGAGCCAGTACAGAGGTACTGGAGTACCTTAAGTTGCTGTTTTGAGAAGCTTTGTTCAGCATGTAACATTTCATTTCTGGTTTTATAGTTGATATATTGTGTATTGATGTAGCCAGAAATATTCTGGACTGTTGAGGTAACATATTGGTGTTTAATAGATTTCCAATTAACTTTGGTTTGTCTTGTAGGAGGGGCTTCTGGTATAAAGGAAGGAGGCAGAGGCTCCTCTCAGCAGAACAGCTTTGGCCTGGAAGGGCACATGTGCTAGAGCCCAATAGTCAGGCCCTGAAAAAGGTTTTTTTTGTGTGTTGTTTAATAGCAGTTTGTAATGATAATTTTAATAGTTTGTACTTAGTTTCCTCGTTGTTTTTGTTATTTAATTTTTGATATATTTTTGCAATAATTCACCCTTGCACTACTGCACTTTCCACGTGTCTGGTGAAGAAATAAATTGAAGCACCAGATGAAGAACTCCTGAGTCCATGTCTCCTCCTTCCAGCATGGTGCTAAACATTACAGTACGTATAAAAAACAACAATTTAGGGTGTCTGAAATCGTATTTCAAGATTCTTGAATATAAGGCATACCCTCTGCTATACTTCTGCTTTATGAATTGTTAAGTCGGGGAGGGGCTAGCCCATGTAACACCTTAAAGACAAGGCAAGCATCTGCAATTTTTTAAAGCTATCCAAACTGAATAATTTAGTTATATATATTATTGAACACATCTTTGTTACTGCCATCTGGTTAATGCTTGCATTTCAGATATTATACTGTATTGTTGGTTTGGACATCACTGCTGGGTGGATTGACATTTAATGCAATTGTAGCCTATTGGAATATAAGATTATTCCCTTCAGCTGAAGGGGCAAAAATCAAATTTCTAGACTCACTCAGTTGTAGGAAGGTCTGGAACACCAGAACTTCACATGAATTAAACCAGCTGCCATGATTTCTGGATTTTATGATGGGATCTATAATCCAATATTGTCGGCAAAATAATGGAACCTGATGTTGTGTATTAAAAATAATTTGATCTGAGAGGACCTAGGATTGAACCCTGTGGTACACCACAAGAAATCACATCCTGACAGAAAAACTGAGAAACTTCTTTTATAAAGATGAGAACAAAAGCAATGAAAACCTGAGTCTGATGCCAACCAGTTTATAGACATGCTTCATTCAAACTGTGAACATGCTTTTCTCCAATACTGGAGTACAACAGTACATACAGTATATTGACAGTAATACATAAATTTGTTCAAGTTGAAATAAATCCAGACTGCATCATCACACTGAAGTTTAACAGTGTGTGACTCCCTCTAGTGGACGTTGTGGAGTATTCTGTTGTCTTTGCTCCAAAGGTTTTTGTACAGAGTTTTGGTGTTTCCTGTCACTGTGGGCCTCACAGCACAGTAGTACACAGCAGAGTCTGTCACTGCAGCAGAGGAGATCTGCAGATCGACTCGATTCCTCTCCTCATTCAGGTTAGCGGTCAGTTGAGGGTGTGGAGGTTTTGCTTCCACCACTGAAGGCTCTTTTGCATCAGTGATCAGGAGAAGGAACTGAGGAGCTGATCCAGGATCCTGTCGATACCACTGGAGATTCTCGGCTTTAACTGAATAGCTACAGGACAGAGTAACACTACGGCCCTCTGATGAGAACACTTCAGCTCTGCTGGCAGTAATATCATCTTCCAAGGTGTTACCTAGTGAGGGAAACAACATGTTAGATTCAGAGTTCTGTTCCAAAGGCAGACATCCATCATTTAAAACCAGCACTCACTGTCAGAAACACACGTACCTACGAGAGCTGAAAAGAACAAAAGTGCAGCGAGTTTCTCCATGTTGACAGAGGAGAAATGCTGGAACTGAATGTTCAGTATGAACACGTTCTGTCAGTTGTGTTTGGTCTGATGTTCACAGCTGGAATCAAAGAGTTCTCTGCCATGAAGCAGCTCTGCAGTCAGTAGGAGGAGACTCATATTTCACAGTAGTTTCATTTCTGAAGCTCTTCATCACAGCTGGGTCTCATTCTAAATCTGCTAATGCCTCTTAATTCTGTTTTTGTTCATAAAATGGCAATAAATATTTGAACATCATGATTTTATGTTGTTTGCACTTTAATAGTTTTGTCTTTTGGATATAAATTGAAGGCGTTTTAAAGCTGAAACAATTTTGAGATTCAACCTCTTGGAAACTAACACCTACTTCCAGGAAAAAAAGGCCTAAAATAACATACCTAAAATAAATCAGTAATAACTCCTCAACCATCACGCCTAGCTGCATAATTCTGGTCTCCTTTGAGGCCAGAAACTAAGGGATATGGAGAAACTGTAAATGAACCATTTGGTGATGGTGCAGTGGATAAGACTATGCCTTTGGTGTGAGAGACCCGGGTTCAATCCCCCACTGTGACACATTCACCAATGTGTCCCTGAGCAAGACACTTAACCCCTAGTTGCTCCAGAGGCTCTGACATGTGTAGCAATAGTAAGTCGCTTTGAATAAAAGCCTCAGCTTAAATATAAATGTACTGGGAGTTTTCTTCAAAACACTATTTCTGTCCATACAACCATGTTCCAAAAAATATAAAGCTTCCAAAACATTGAAATATTGATTAAAAACAGTGAATATTGATCAACATTCCTGTGACCTAAAGCACTCCCATGCTTTACAGGCATACAAGTTGATAACAGAACCTCCTACAGGGCTGTAGGTGGGCTCGTTCTCTTCGTATTGAAGAGACGAACTGATGGTACACTGGATGTCTGTGTAGCTCATACGGGCCAGTAGAGGCCGATAATGACCATCTGTTCCAAAGCAACTCTTCTTCTCTCCTTCATTTTGATGAGAAAAGAAACCTAAAGAAGCGGCACGGTGGTATAGTGGTTAGCGCTGTCGCCTCACAGCAAGAAGGTTGCAGGCTCGAACCCGGCCCCGGCCTTTCTGTGTAGAGATGTTCTCCCCGTGTCTGCGTGGATTCTCTCCAGGTGCTCCGGCTTCCTCCCACCGTCCAAAGACATGCAGGCTAGGTTGATTGGTGACCCTATATTGTCCTTAGGTGTGAGTGTGACTGGTTGTTTGTCTATGTGTGGCCCCGTGATGGATCGGCGACCTGTCCAGGGTGTACCCTGCCTAAAGAGCTCACTGATTGTGCAATACCAAGATGGCGGGCTCTATTGACACAGAAAACAGCTGTTTTTGGACTGAATCCAGGGAAAAGACAAAAGTATGTCAGCGTTGTAACTGTAAGCACATATTGCTGCGTTTGTTATTAGTCGGCTCTGAGTTTTGTGAGTTGATTGATAGGAGTTATACAGCTGATCAGAGCTGGAGCTCAGCTTTCTTTAGAGTGGTCGTAGTAGGATGAGATGAGATGAACTGCAGCCCTGTACAGTGATTACAGAGCAATTTATGTTGTGATATAAGTTCATTTAGATGCGTGGTTGGTTAGGTGTGGATAAAAATGGTCTGTTTGAGATGTAGCTGAGCCTCCTAGCTTCAAGGAGGTGTGTGGCATGCATATGAAGACAAGACAATGTGATCATCCGTGACTTCCCATTTGCAGTTTGAGGCGAAAATCGATCGGTCAGTGCTTAAGTCAACCCGACTGTATATTTTAAAACATCACGTATTAACTTTTGATATTTCACCAGGTGACAATTTAAAACATCATAAAAACATATTCATGGTACCATGGCTGTTGCTACGAGACATCCTGTCCCTACAAAACCAGAGTGAGAGCTGTGTTTGTACACTCAGCAGGTGGGTGTTGGGCTGGCTGGTTTGTCCCTTGTCGCAGATTATGTTTGTAACTTTCATGAACAAAATCTGAAGGAGCATCCGGGGGGAGGAGGGTGTTCGGTTTGGGGGCCTGAGCATTTTTTCTCTGCTATTTGCAGATGATGTGGCTCTGTTGGCTTCATCACACTGTGACCTCCAACATGAACTGGGACGAGTTGCATTGAATGTGAAGTGGTCAGCACCTCCATGTCTGAAGTCATGGTTCTCTGCTGGAAAACGCCGGATGGCTCCTTGTTGGGTGGGAGAGAGTTGTTGCTCCAAGTGACGGACTTCAAGTATCTTGTGGTCTTGTTCACCGGTGACGGTAAAATGAAGCATGACATCGACAGGCAGATTGGTGCGGCGTCAGCAGTCATGCAGGCGTTGTACCAGACCTGTTAGGAGTGTGGTTTTGTGTTCATGTCTTTCCTGTTTAAGTCCGTTTTTGGTTCTGAGTTTCTCTCTGTAGCCTTGTTTATTTTTATTCAGGCACATGTTCTAGTTTACTTAGTATCTGGTTTCATGGTTTTGGGTTTTGTATTTCTGTGGTTCATTATTTGATCATGTTTAAGTCTTTTGTTCATTCTCATGTTTAAGTTTTCTTAGTATCTGTCTGGCCTCTTATCTTCTGGAGTTCTTAGTCTTGCATTTTACTTCTTAGCCTCAGTTCTTAGTCCAGTGCCTTTTGTTCTTAGTTGTGTGCTTTAGTTCATGTTTAGTGTCATTCCTGGTCTGTGTACTTCTGTGTTTTATTATTTTGATCTGTGTCTTAGTACTTAGTCTTATGTCTCCATGTTCTAGTATAGTCCTGTCTCCTGTTTGGTCCTGTCTCTGTCCATGCCCTGATTTTGCAGTCTTTCCATGTTTTGTGTTTTACTTTGGTAGATCTTTCCTTGTGTGTTCCTGTGTACTTTACTTCCTGTTTTATTTTGTAATCTTCTGTGCCTGGTGTTCTTGTCTAGCTTTGTTCCTGTTGTTGGTTAGTGTATTGTCTTGATTATTAGTTTGTTACCTCTGCCTTTTTTCTTTATGGATCTGTGTATTGTTGTGTTTATAGTCATTTCGGTTTATTCTGTTCTGTATTACTTTCTTGCCTGGTTAGCTTGCTGTTTCACTGTGTGTCTGCTGTGCCTGATTAGCTCCTCATGTCTTTCACCTGTGCACTCCCGCCCTGCTCGTTTACTTGTGTATTTAAGACCTCAGTTTTGTTCAGTCTTTGTCACGTCCTTTGTCTGTGTTGCGTGTTCTGTCCCGTCCCTGCGCTTTGAATTATGTTGTTGGATTGTACTTTGTTCTTTGTTCTCGGACTCTTCCCTTTGGATTATGTTTTGTTTGGCGTTACCTTTTGTTTGAACATTTGCCGCTGTGCTCCCAGCGTAAGCCTGCTTAGTTTTGGGTGCATTTGGGTCTGCACCTCAGCTCTCTGCTCCTGCACTCAGCTGCCCATGACAAGACCGTTGTGGTGAAGAGGAAGCTGAGCCTGAAGGCAAACCTTGTGTATGGAATTGTTTCATATTATAGGGACTGTGGTCTCTGTTGGACATGTTGAAGGTCAGATCTGACACATTATTAATTTTAGTTTCAGTATACATTTATTTGTTGTAATGGAAAAATGGGCTTGTGTTTGAAGCCTCCTGCAGGTGGTTTCTCTCTGATGTGGATTTGCTGCTCCTGTGAATCCTCCCCCAGTGTTTCATTAGCAGCTGGAACCACAGTGACTCTGATAAAACAGGAATTAGCAGAATCCATCTGATATGAAGCTGTGGTTTGAATACCACTTCCCTCCTCTTTGAAGAGTAAGTAGTCAGATATCTGGGTTCAGGTTTTTGTACAGCCTCTTCTACACTTTGTATCACTGTGTTTCTAGAGCACAGTAGTAGAGAGCTGTGTCTGCCAGGGTTAGATCTCTGATGGTCAGTGTAGTTGATGTTGCTGATGTTTCAGATCCATGTCGTTCATCAGGAATATATTGTCTACCACTCCATGATTTTGCTCCTTTCCAGAGTATAAACTGAGGTGCCTGAAGGTCAGAATGATGTTTGTACCAGTAAAGGGCAGGACTGCTATAAGTTGTCTGATAGTTACATGTGAGTGTGACAGATTGTCCTTCTCTTTCACTGACTTCCTCTCGTACAGGAGAGATTGTGTCTCCAGCTATTAGTCCTGGAAAAAGTAGAGCAAATTAAGCCATTAGACTAACATTGTTCATGAGGCTGAGAGGAGAAGACAGTGGAAAATGGCAGCTGTACAGTGTTACTCTGTGGACACAAACAGCTCAGCTGTTTCCATAAATCTTTAGAAAAGAATAAAAAGATGTTGTGCTTTCTATCTTACCAAAGAAAAGAGCAGCAAGAATAATCCCCAGCCAATGTTCCATCTCTACAACAAGGTTTAAATCAACAGGAGAAACTAGCTGATGTTCAACATTCAGTCTGAGAATTGTTCTCTTCACAGCAGCAGTTATTATTGACAGAATGGTTGAACACAGTGCAGAAGTAGTGCACCGCCTACTTGATAATGTGGCTCAGCTTGGATTAACAGCAGCTACAGTGTCATCTAGTGGCCAATCAGAATCAGACCACAGAAGAAGAAAAGATGCCACTGAAACTTCAAACTAGTCCAGCAGCATAATCCAGTTGTCAGCTGATGATCTGTTTGTTCAGCATTTTCCAAACTCAACATAGTTAAAGACTCTACTTCTGTGCTGCGTTATCACCTCCCCACATCTCTGAAGTTGTGGATTTACAGCAGCAATTAACAAAGTGATGCTACAAACTGTTGAGTCACCTTTCAAGCTTACAGGTGGAGAGGATTTGATAGTGAAACGAGACATTTTCACTGGAATATTCCTTCAGACTAACAAAACCCACATCTGGATGCTGAGATCAGGTCTAGTTTCTGAGTACAGTCCAGTATCACATACAGAGTCTCACTGGGTTTTACATCCAGCAGCATCAGTGAAGACTCCCCATACTGTCCTGCCTTAACATGGAGGAAAACTGATGGAAACCTCAGGACAGGAAGTTCAGGGAGATTTGTATTTGTATTGTCTTTATTCTTCAAGTGGCAAATAAGTTGGTGTGTTAACAACATCAGGTACTCAAATGAATATAAATGTAAACAAAATTTTATCTACGTAGTTTACATCACTCTCCTTATCATCATCATCATCAGTGTGTCAGAGATATAAACACTCTAAATCATTTTTTTAATGTTTATGTCAAATTTTTCTTAGTTTTTATTATCAGTGCAATGAATCCAGACTG